ACCGTAACACCAGTAGTGCAGTTGTGCCCATGCTTCACGAAAGTCTCACCAAACTTTTGAAGTAGGCCTTGTAGATCTAATATGAGCAAGATTCAGCAACTGAATTCCTAATTTCCTGCCAAAAACTTGTTCGGAAACAGAATTTGGTGGACTGCTGAGGTGATATAAGTTAAAGTTTACTCAGCTTACTCCATAAGAAAGTCTACTACTCATGCTCAGACCACATTGGCTCACAGAACTAGGGTCTTCAGGAGGGAGGACGGCAGTTGGACCCTTCTCATGGCTCTACAGAAACCTATGGGTGGCGTCACAGGGTCCATTTTTGATTATACACTGATAGAGAGAAGAGGAATAATGAGTATTTAAAGACTGAACCAAATAGAAAGATTTTTTTCTTTTTTACTTTATTGATCCCCTAGGGGGAAATTGTTCTTTTTCACTCTTTTTTATATACACACACACACAGGCTGAAATACACACTTCACACACTTGTGGACATGCAAAGGGGAGAGAGATGGTGGAGTGACGGGGCTGCACGTTACCTGCGCCTCATGAGCAGGTTTTGGGGTTAGGTTCGGTTAGGGGTGCTCAAGGGCACCTCTCCAGCTACCAGTCCACACTCCATATATTGTGGTCTTTGGGACTTAAACCGGTGACCCTCCGGTTCCCAGACAAGTCCCTACACACTGAGCTACTGCCGCCGCTTTAGGTCCAGAAACAATTTCTTAAACAATTATTTTAAAATGACATAAAAGAAAGGACAGCATATCTTTATGTGCAGATGAATTTCTTGCTTAATATTGACAAATGTGAAACCATATATGTTTGCTGTGTAAATACCCATTATCTGCCTTCATCTATACTCATGCATATATAAAAAAAAGAAAGTGTTCTTCAGTGTTCTAAAGTAAAATTAATGATTAACTGACATTATCACATTATCACGCAACGTTCCCCTCTGTTTTCCTAGGTGAAACCTTTACCCCTGTGAAGGGACAGTCCCTGATCACTGCACTGCTTATACTAACAAATGTCTTTATACTGATGCACCAGCGATACATAACACCAATGCTGTGCCAACACCGGATACACAATATCACTCACCAATATACACCAAAGGAATGCTTGTGTATACACACAAACACACACATCTACAATCTCGCTGGTTAAGATCAAATTTCATGGGAAGTTCAGTGCCTGCACTGGGTGTTAAACGGAACAATCGCATAGTCAAAACTGCATTCATTGCATGAGATACAAATGTGACACAGGCAGAAAAGTTCTCACTGCTTAAATGTGAAAAGGCCAGAGGGATGGATTAGACAGTAGTGAAAGTAAAGTGGAAAAAGAGTGGCCCAGCAATGACTTTTTCATATTTATGTAGGTTAAACTTAGTTTCACTACAAGTCACTGACTGCAGCTCTGCTACAGCGTCTTTTCATGTGGTTTTAGATTAAAGTCAAAAGTAAGCTGTGTGTTTAATACAGGTTTAACATATTCAATATTTACAAATCAAAACAGATGTAACCAGTTTGTGGAAACAGGATTTTGGTGAAACTTAAAGCAAATGAAGGCAAAAAGAGAGCTGGGGTGCACACAGTCCTGCAAGTTCACAAACCAAAAGGTATCAGAATAGTCTTTCTGTCACAGCAAAAATAGAAACACACACACACACACACACACACACACACACACACACACACACACACACACACACACACACAGAGAGAGAGAGAGAAAAATGAATCAAAAGAACACGCTTACAACACTTAATATAATGAGTAATGTGAAAGGCTTGCTAGTAAAGCCACAGCAGCATCTCCCAACTCTGTACTCTGTGCATACGGTTGTTTTTGTTGCCTCTTTGAGCTAACATTTCTTGTTTATAGAACACATTTACTCTCAGCACTCTAATCAACATCTGTTTTTAGCTAAAAAAAACAACCCAGCACTAAATGGCAGACAAAATCAAAAACTAGCTGGCAAAGAAAATCCAGCACTTGGCAGCTACAGAGACAGATACTGTTCTCCGAAGTTGTTAAAGAGTGGTGAAAACGTGCCTCGCTGCAAGCTACGCTAGACAAGCTAATTTCAATAGCACAATTAAAATGACACAAGTGGAAATTATGAATTACAATAAAAAGAGGCACACATTCCCTAGCTGTGGCTGGGCTGTGGGGTGAATCATTTGGTTCCAACTTTCAGAGACAGCTTTGTGAGTGCTCCACAAACGTGTTAGCGCGAGAACAGCCAGTAAACCTGTGACTCCTGATTGGACCCCTCTGTTTGACCCGAATAGAACAGAACTTTTATTTGTAACTGTGGTAACACCTGTGTTTACTATTTCATGTCAAAATGGCTGCTATGAAAAATGTCTATTGCATTTGAAGTCATCCAAAGGGATGAGCAGTCTGTAGACATATAGTGGAACGCTGTAAGAAATCAGGCCTCGAGGTGAAAAAGATGGGTGACTGTTGAGTCTCATTCCCAGAGCGTCACATAGAGACACTTTGGGACTTGACAATTATCTTCCAACCCAAAGTGTCTTCTATCTTCCTCAGCTCTGATTGGTTGTTTTCGTTCAGGCCCGGTGGATTCTTGTAAATGTCATTAGGAGCTCTAGGAGGAGCCAGAGGAACCTGATTGTTTCACAGATTATCCGTCTCATGTTCTACTGTCAGGATTTAGTGAAAGTTTCAGTGAATATGACAAAAAGTTATTTTATAAAAGTTACAAACTTGCAGCTTTAAATCCAGACGTCCGATGACTAAAATCCTTCATCCGGTTCAAATCTAGAGTTAAAAAGCACCAAGATCTAAACAGTGGATGGTAACAATGTGGCTTCAGACTGGATAAACAGTCAATGTATGACAGCTTCTGACAGATAACCACAACGCTGACGCAGGCACAAAGGGGATATGACGCCATTGACAGGCGACCGGTGAAACACAGCATTACCTGAATGAAGTGACAGAATTCTCTGAGTTTGAACATTGTTGGAAACATTTGGGATAATGGAAGTACACAACTCAACTACATATAGAACACAGAGCTAGAGTTTATACACTGTTTAATGATTATAGATTATTGATTGAATCAACTACATATAGAACACAGAGCTAGAGTTTATACACTGTTTAATGATTATAGATTATTGATTGAATCAACTACATATAGAACACAGAGCTAGAGTTTATAGACATTTTAATGTGGAAATGTTCCATATAATAGCTTTAAAGTGGCAGTTCACCCCAAACCCAAAATATACTTTTTTACATTTAAAGCAGAAATAGTTCCTACATGAAACTGCTCACAAGCCGAGTGCCATCTAGTTCCATAATATTGGAGAGAAGTTTGACATCTCTACGGCTGATATCTCCAAAACTCAGTAACTCACATCAAAACAATCTAGACAGATAAATAGCACTACAGGTAAGAGTATTATAAGAGTAAGAATAATATGTTGGGGTGAACGGTCCCTCACTGCCATCACTGTATGAATGTGTGCAGATGGGTGAATGTGACATGTAGTGTAAAAGCACTTTTAGTGGTTGAAAGACTAGAAAGGCGCTATATAAGTACAGTCCATTTACCATTTACTATTCTCATTAGTTAAGGACATGAAAACATTTTAAAATTCCCACTGTTAATTTTTAGCTAACTATTTAGACATTCGGAGTTCCTTGTTTGTTAGCAATACCAAACAGCACTGTTAGACTACCTTTCTCAGAAAAGTCTCCTGTTACTTGGAGCACAGTTGGTGGTTTTAGTGCTGACTGGTTGTAAAACCTTTGCAAAAATATTATTGACAGCACCATGCTCAAATAGATCAGGCAGATAGGTCAGGCTCCAGAGACATGTCAAGCACCCCTAATGTTTTGTTCAATCCCTTTCTATCAATACAGATAAAAAAATATCTCCGTGCAACATCTAAACAGCAAACTGCAGCCTCCGAAATGCCCATAAAGCAGCTTTCTACAACAGTTTCCACAGAAACTGAACATGTTAACCTTTATAAAGGTAGGATTTTTCACAGAACTGTTAAATGGACTTAATAAATTCAAGAATATTGTTACGTTTTATCACAAATCAGGCAAACTGGTGCTACATATATGCTCAATATATGCCCTTTTTTGTTCAAACCATAAACAATAAAAAAGTTCTCTGTAACTCTGGTGACAAAAGGGTGCAGAGATCTGCTTATGAACTCGGTTAGGGTAACTCTTTCCTTATTCATGAGCTTTCAAATGGTTACAAACCGCCGTAATGAGCACCAAGCACCACTAATGTTTTGTCTAATACTTTTCTATCAATACAGATAGAAAAAGATCTCAGCATAACAGCAAACTGCAGCCTCCAAAATTAGCATTCATATTAAATTAGCACCTTTTTACAACAGTTTCCACAAAGATTGACCATGTGAACCTTCATAAAGGTTGGATCTGTAGCAGGACTTTAAAATTGACTTATTAAAATAAAGAGTATTGTGACATTTTATTACAAATTAAGCAACATTTGGGCTACTCAACATAAGCCCTTTATGTTAAAACCATAAAAAATAAAACAGTTCTATATAAATGTGATCACACAAGGATGCAGAGAGCTGCTTGTGAACTTGGTTTGGGAAACCTTTTCCTTATTTATGAGCTCTGAAATGGTTCCTAATCCCCCCAATGAGCACCAAATAGGCCTTTTCATTACTCGGCTACCACATGAGAGAATAACTGGCTGCTGGCTGGCTGGAGCATTGAACCGGCAGCTGTGTGTGCAGTTGGAGCCGGTGTGGAGCCGGTGTGGAACCGGTGTGGAACAGGTGTGGAACCGGACGGACTCCATGCTGAGAGCTGCACAGAGCCGCCTGGTCAGACTCATCATCTGCAGCCCAGCACACAGGCTGCCAGTAAAATGCGGATTTCCCCTCTTCTCACTTTACTGTTACACCACAGCCACTTTATCGCGGACTCAAACAAAAACACACTGTAAGAAAGTAAAAGACTTACCTTACAAGTGAAATCGACTGTGTTCAGCTCCGCAACGTTGGCGCTCGTTTTCTATCTGATCATGATTTGAAGGTTATGAAATGAAGGCGGAGAGGATGTAGAGTGTTGACAAAAAGGCCAGCCGCAAAACGGTCAGTTCCTCTATCTGTGTGTACAAGGAAGTAAAAGTTAACTTGCATTATAGGCATAGCCTGCAAGTTATAAAAAAAAAAAAAAAAAAAAAAGGCCGGAAGCAAGGACGGTATCTATGCAAACTACACTGTGCAAGTGGCATCGGGTTATGAGCTGCCACTGTGCGGATCAACAGCCAGTTTTTTCAGAATAAATGCTTTGGACTTATCTTTATAGAGTTTTTTTTTGTTTTTTACTGCATGTGGGACACAGTCCGCTCTCTCTGTAAACACAATCCATCAGCATGTGTTAGACAGCCGTTTCTCAGTGTCCACAGGGTCCACAGGGTCCTCTTCATCCTCTGAGGACAGTCCCACTTACACAGTGAGGGGGACAGATGAGACAGAAGAGTGTGTTTTTTACTCTGTCTGTAATCAGTGGCGGATTAACTGTGGAATATCATGTATTTCACTAAAAGTAGTACCATCCAGGGGCGGATCTATTCATGGTTGTGTCCAGGGTGGCATGGAGATTTAAAGGGGTGGCAGAAATATATGCTGATTTAACCGCAATCATCAGTATTTGCTTGGAAAAGCCCCAATTTAAGATATCGTGGCACATTAGTAAAGCACTGAATGGAAATATCTAAAGGTGGAATTAGAAATTAATACATTGTTTTACTTCCAAATCTTCATTTTTGCAATTATTCATTTTGTCTTAGTCTAAAATGTACCCAAAACAGATTATTACATGAACTGACATTTTTTTAACATTATTTTAAAAAATAATCTAAACTAAAGTGTTAAATTTGACTTTTCACACCAAACTGGGGTGGCAGATGTTTATACATACTCCAGTGGTTCCCAACCTGGGGGTCAGGACCCCCATTAGGGTTCACCAAAGCTTCACAAGGGGTCGTGAGGCCTTCTTGATTTTAAGGGGTGTCAGAAAGTGTAAAAAAATATACACAGCAAGCCTGTATCTCAGCATACACTTAATTCTGTGAAGAAAGATTGGGAACCACTGATTTAGAATCTGATAATAAAACTGTAGGGGGTCTGTGACGTGAAGATTGAGAACTGTTATGAAAAAGTTTAAATAAGAATCATCAGAATAGCAAATAAAAAAGAATTAAAGGTCCAGTGTGTAGGATTTTGCCACCTAGTGATGAGATTGCAGATTGCAACCTACTGAAACCCCTTGCGTGTATGAAACTACGGTGGCTGTGAGCCACTGTTTGGTTTCTGGGCTACTGTAGAAACATGGTGGTTCAACATGGCCGACTCCATAGAAGAGGACCTGATATATATATTTCTATAGAAAAACTATGTAGCAGAGTATAAAAATAAATACATTTTTAAAAAACCTGAAGATATATACTATGTAGTGCATGACACCAGTGCAATGGTCTTCCATTGTTTTGTCCATTGTCCACTGTCATAGGCATGGATGTCATAGGCCTATAAAGAACTGTAACAGCCCTAACCTGTATGAAAGGTGCTATACTGTACAGGTAAAGTTTGATCCATTGATTTATTGATAGATTATGGGATAGAGGGCGAAAGTCCATACAATAAATGCACAGTTGTCACAACAGCATCTAGCTTGGGGAAGGAGAGGGCAATGAAGAGCATATAATGAGCTGATCCTGTTGCTCAAGATATTGTCACATACCTGGGAATAAAATAATAAAATCATTTCCATACACAAATATAAAGACCAGTGTAAACATTATCTACAGAGCCCAGACCTTCATGCCACTGTGTGAATTGCTATAAGCTCATATAACAGATTTGCATGTGTAACTTGCCTCAGTAATTTGCATGATAGCAGAACAGAGGAGATGGGAGGGGGTAACTACAGAGTTGCCTTTCAGCCTCTGAGCAGGTGTTTGTATTAGTACAATTAAAAGTGTCAATGTGGAGATCTTGTCGTTTATGTTAATGGAAACATTTTACAGCCTGTACGGCAAAGTCAGACATGACCAAATAAAGAGTCATGCTAACTAAGCTGATTACCACAGACACGTGAACGAAAGCAGGTGCAACCTCCAGTCGCCCTCTTATTTTAACACAAGCAACACACACACTACACACACACACACAGAAAATCAACTTCAAACACTATATTCAGGGTTTCTGCAGGTTTCAACAGGTTCAATTTGAGACATTTTGAGACCTTTTTAAGACCCTCATGAAAGCAGTTTAAAGGACCAGTGTGTAGGATTTAGTGGCATCTGGCAGTGTAGTTGCAGATTGCAACTCACTCTCTTCATCCTCCATTTCAAAGCATACGGGGGAAACTACAGCAATCTGTATTTGATTTATCCGTTTTGGGCTACAGTAGAAACATGGTGGTTTAACATGGCTGGTGTATCCGTTGTATCTTTAATGTGACTCGCCATGTGAATACCTAGTGAAGTATACCGATAACCAGCTTTGGATACTGGGAGACCAAGGGTGAACAAACAAATGCACAAATGTGTTCTTCTTAGTAGAGGCATTTCTTCAAACGCATCAAAGGTCATAGATGTAGATATGTTTTAGTGTGCTTCTCCGTGCATCTCCCATAGGCTTCAATGGAACTTGAACCAAACAGTATTAGAATGCTGTTCTGTAGTATATAAAAATATTCTAGTTGGTCTCGACAGTGTCCAGCATATGTTTCTTTTCTGAAGTAACTTCCTCCTTCAAAACAAAATCCTGGATAGAATGGGTATGGACATTAGCTGCCTGGTAACCATGGTTACCTGGCTACCTCACCATTGTCATCAAGTACTGGAAATGATTACAGCACTGTTAGAATGTTGGGGTTATGGTGTAATGACCCTTCCTTCTTTTTTAGTTTAGGGATGAAGTATTTACAGTGGAATCCCTGGTAGTTGAACAAACAGTTGATGTATCCTCTTGTATTCGAGATATTCCCTGAACGGTAAACCACTTATGAAGGATCATACATAAATGTGATGGCTCAGACGCTGAACAAGCTACAGAGACAGAAACAGGCTCATGTCAGATTATGTGCCCTAAACCTGAGGGTTTATCAATACTGTAGCAATAAAATAACTTGTCACACAGCAATTCAGTTATACTTTTCTGAAATGAGTTTAAGAGGACCTTCAGGATAATTCTGTGTTTTATTTTACTGTTATACATAATTATTAATGGTGTAGCTTACTGTTCTGTTGTGCTCCCTTTCCTCAACCTAATACTTCAGTGAGAGATTTCAATAGTGATGATGTGGGTGCATTGCATTCTGGTTGACTGAGGCTACTGACTGGCAAAGAGGCTGATTTCCCTGTGTGTTATTTCTTGAATAATCATAAAAAAAAGAGTTTTCGGGCACCCAGTTAGCTCAGTTGGTAGAGCTGGCGACCGATATACGCAGCAGCTCAGGTTCGAATCCGACCTGTGGCCCTTTGCTGCATGTCATCCCCTCTCTCTCTACCCCCCTTCCCCCCCTTTAAAAGTTTTCTCCTATCACCAGTGCCGCTTGATTTAAAGTGTGAACACACCCATGAAACATTTATCACTTTGTATGTGTGTGTGTGGGTGTGAGAGAAAGGGTTCAATCAGACTGTAAAGAGCGCTTATGAGCTGCCTTTAGACCTAGTTTAGGCTTTGTTAGCCTGGTTTATGTTGTGTCTTCCATAGCCAGCACCATCTTTACGATCTGATCTGTGTAGACATGAGCATGGCTGTATTGTTGTGTGTCATTAAGAGAAACCTGATATCACTGTGTGTATTAGAGACATGTCTGAAAGTCACATGTAAATCTTATCCAGCTATGTCAGATGATAAAATCCCAGCTTGTGTCAGTACCCTGCAGACCGGGAGCCTCAATAAGGTAATAGCGTTTTGTATGTCCATTGTTGCCCCTCACTGCTCCTGGTCCTCCTCTGGCTCCCTGAGGCCCCGACTGTGCAGAGTCTTCCCTGTCATCTCCATCATCGCCTGGACCTCTGGATCTACATCCAGGATGCTCCTCTTGCCCTCCCCCTCCTCACCCTGAAACACAAAACATACAGAAATATCATGGCTTTATTTCTTCATATTGTAAAGGAAACAGCTGTATTATGTAAAAAAGCTGGGATGCAAAGTAGGTTCTCTATTTGTGGTACAGTTGGTACAGCTAATTACATGCCTGATGCCTGATGCCTGATGCGAATGCATTCATCCTCTGATCAATTCTAAAAAAACAGGTGTCAAGTTTTGTTATAACTGACCCTTCCTAGGTCCCGTCCCCGTCCAATAACAGTAGAGCAAGTCTCAGACAGAACCTTGGTCAGCTTTCTCCTTTACCGTACTTACATATGCTATGTGCTAAGCTAATCTATGTTGAAAAGACAACCACATTTTGAAGATGGGTAAAAGATAAAAGGGACATATAGTCACATCTTAAGTGAGCCAATCTGAACAAATGCTAGCTAACTAGCTAGCTAATCTACATCAATCGTTAGCGTGCTAGTTAAATCAGAAAGTTAATGTTAGCAACATGATTGCTAATTAGCTAGCTAATTTACATCAATCATTAGTTTGCTATGGTTTTGCTAACTTTAACTTAAAATGTGACTTTATGTCGTTTCTATCTCTTAAAGGTCCAGTGTGTAACATTTAGGAGGATCTATTGGCAGAGATAGAATCTAATATTCACAGGTATGTTTTTATTAGTGTATAATCACCTGAATAAAGGAATCATTGTGTTTTTGTTACCTTTAGAATGAGCTGTTACACAGAGGGAGTAGGTCTTCTACGGAGGCCGCCATGTTGGACCACCATGTTTCTACAGTAGCTAAATGCCAATAAATCTGACACACTGGTCCTTCAACCATCTTCAAAACGTGGTTGTCTTTTCGATATAGACGAGCCTAACGCATAGCATATCTAAGTACAGGAAAGAGGTAAGCTGACTGAGTTTCTGATAAAGGCTTGCTCCACTGTTATTGGAGCACAGAGCAAAAAGGGGTCGGACTTAAGAATGGTCATTTGTAGTGGCTTTCAGTGTATTTCAAACACCCTCTAATGGAGCACTTGAATGCAGCATCATTTAACATTTAAAAAAAAAGGTTAGGACCTGAAAGACTTACTCCAGCCTGTATACTACAGAAAAGGCATAAAAATGCTCCGCCTGTGGCTGCACCTACATCTGTCTGTCTCTCCCTTTCATTCCCACATCTCCTCCAGATCCTGGGAGTTTCTGACTACCCAGCAGATGGCCCTGCTGTTTTCTTCGTGTGTCTTCCCCACTGCAGCAGCACTAGCCACTTGTATACAGTTTAAGACTTTGGTTGTAAGTTTCTCCCTTTGTAATGTGTTGAATTATGTTAAGCAAGATCTTATTGGAAAACAGCATGGATCTTCCTTGACATCCTCAGGATATATAGAGAATTGGGATGGGCATCTTGCTGAATAGTTAGCATACCACATAACTTCAATGTACGGGGTTTGACTGCAGCCAGGGACCTTTGCTGATTGTCATACTCTCCTCTCCTCTTGTTTCCTGTCTGCCTCTATTGTCAGCTATCAAATACATTTTTTTACAGTTTACAGATACAAGTACTGTTGTCATGTTCATCATCATCAGTCACTACTATTAGTGTAGTTGTTGCTACTGTTGTTGCTGTGCACCTGTCTGTCTGTCTCTCTCTCTCTCTCTCTCTCTCTCTCTCTCCTTCACCCCAACTGGTCGAGACAGACGACCACCCACCTAGAGCCGAAGGATCTGTCCTAGGTTTCTGCCTTTTAACAGGCAGTTTTTCCTTGCCCTTGTCTCCAAGGTCTTGCTCATGGTGGTACTGTTGGGTCTCTGTAATTAATGTTATAAAGAGTTCGGTCTAGACCTGCTCTATTTGAAAAGTGTCCTGAGATAACTTCTGTTATGAATTGGCGCTATACAAATAAAATTGAGTTGAATTGAATTACTCTGACCTCCTCTGGTTCTGGGGGTTTTCCGACCGCCCACACTTCCATTGAGTCCAGGGTGAAGTCTTCCTCTCCAGAGAGCTGAGGGCTACCGTAGGTGGTGCACTTGGGCCGCGCACGGCTGTGACCATGGCCAAATTCACTGTCCAGCCACAGACCAAAGTAGCTGTGCTGACCACCCATGCCCTGATGAGGACCGGAAAATGTGATCATCAAGAGGCACAGAAAGAATGAAGACACGCATGTAATAAGAGTTGTGATAAGTCTGTTTTTAGGGTTTTTTAGCTCAGTTTTGGTCTCCACCAACTTCTGAGAAGAAGACCAGCTAGCTGTACGGTGCTGTTTTAGATGATTATTGCAACACCAATTGGTCAAACAGTACCTTGTTTGGTCACTGGAAATTAGGGCCTCTAAATAATATAAACAATACTGTATATAAGAAATTAAAAACTAAATAGACTTATGTATTTTTTATTACTATAATGTATAATCATTGTACTATAATGATGCATCCCTATCAACCCTATTTAAGCTCCATGTGGAAATCACAAGCCATTAGCAACAGACTTAAAGTTCTCCTCTGCTGAACTAGTGCTCACCAGTCCGTTGGGCATGGTCTGCTGATTCTGGTTGAGGTACATGAAGTGTTGGTTGTATCCTGTTGCTGTATAAACTCTCAGTCTGGGGAACACAGTGAACAGGAAGCATCTGGAGTCACCTGCACACACACAAATATACAAATGATGAAGATCTGAGTGAAAAATCAAGTGACAGCCCACACTATTCAAACAAGTAGTATTACTTCCTCAATGTGTATCTTTTACCAGGGCTTTAATATTAGTCTTCATCTGTGGTGTGGCCCATGCCAACAGGACAGTACTGTACAACCTGTGGATTCCCTGTTATCTGTTTGAGACAACACATTCACTCCAGTGTGGAGTCTGTGAAACTTTGTCATCATGTGACATGAGTTATTTGGACAAATCTCCCTCTGTTCTTCATTCAGCAGAACTGAATCAACAGTTTCATGACCAGTTCAACTGCTGTTACATTTTAAATCAGCCGTAAGTCTTAATACCTCAGGCAGCGGTTCCCAAAGTGGGTACTGCAGCACCCTGAGGGGCTTTAAAGACGAGCCAAGGCACGCAAGATTTGTACAATTCTGCAGCTAAAGACTTGATGGCAAATCATGACCATAGCATGCAATGGAATAATGTAACTTTAATACAGCTTAAAGAAATGTTGACCTCAACCTATGGACATAGTTTATTTAATTTTTATTTGTTTACTTTGATTTGTTTAATCTGTTATCCTACAGTCTGATACAATTGAACCTGCCTGCTAAAAGTGGGGTGCCTTGAAAAGAATCATTATGGAGGGGGGCCATTTGCGTACCACTGACCTAAGGTACATTTGTGATCTACAATACTGTTGTTAGCACAAAGATCAGTTTTAGTGATGCCACACAATAAGAGTACTACAGAAATGTTGGAAATATGGAAATGTATTCTTTATTCTTCATTTATCATATAGAGGTGTAGGTGTTTCAGTTCCGGTGCACTGATGATGTGCCCACTTGTTTACTGATGCACCTAAATGTAATCCTAAAACCTGGAACTGAGGTGAAATAAACACAGAGATTTTTGTTGTGGCCATAACTGAATGTACAAAGCTTAACCCTAAGGCTAATGCAGTCTTCACTTTTAGTTGCTAATATACTATGGTAGCTCCAGGGCTCCAGCTGTCACTGGTTACATGTTGTACTAAAAGAAGCCTATCTCATTAGTTACACCAATAATGACAATAATCAAAACTAAAACTACACTATAACACTGTATATTCTTATTGATATACATTTAGCACCTAGCATAAAATTTCAAATGCGTGTAGCATTGATTGACTTGTTAAAATGCAAGAGCAAGTCATGTAGGCTAATGTTAGTGTGTGCTCTGGAGAATCGTTGAAGGCAGCTGATAAACTAGAGATGGCATCCATCAAATAGCAAATTAGGTCTATAAGTCATACAACATAAAAGAGCTAGTCCCTTCTCTCACCCTGGAACTGGGGTTTGACCTCCCAGGCATGGGAGGCAAAGCCCCCAAAAACATGTCCCTTTGTGTCTCTGATAAGCAGCAGGGTGGGCCCACACTTCAACAGTCCAGCCACCATCCTGGTGAAGCTCTCCCCATGCAGCCGCGTGGAAAACACGAGTCTCCAGGGGGCGCTGTAGCTGTCTGGCAACTGGAGAGATTAACAGAGAGTTTTTAAATTGACAGTGTGTAAATATGAGTAATGATTAGGGCTGAGTATTGCTTAAAAAATTACGATTGTAGTACCAATACCAGTACCCTGAAAGGGCTACCAATAGAGTACTTCATTCAATGCTTTTTTCTTCTGCTTAATTATATACCCAAAATGTGAATGGAAGCATTCAGTTGCGTAAAATGTCACTGCTCCTCCCCACAGCCATACTTTTTAACATTTTGGTGGCATCTTGGCATGCTGAACTGCCAGCTCAAACTGTCAAATACTCCTTCACTTCACCACCACAGACTGTAGCTGCTGCAATGGGCCATTCACACATTGGCTGCGAGCAAATATATACCATATAAATAGTCTTTTTTTTTCTAGATCTGGGTACAAAAATGATTAAATGCAGGTATCATTCGACTGGAAGTTTCCATACTACTTTGTACTGGGTTATTTCATTCCATACCTGCATGTGTTTTCAGGTATTCTGGCTGATTAGGACTCTACTCGGGATGGAGTTAGGCAGTGCTGTGCTCGTAATTAAGTGTATGGTCTACAAGAAATCAATTGTGTATATTTCGAATATCGGCAGTTTTTAGAACATTTATGGGGAATTGGAAATGTACTCCAATGTTTTCAGAATTGAGAAGCTCCACAAGCGTCTGCAGGGTTGTTAGCCCCACAGTCAGACAGACCGCTGCAGGAGAGGTCTAATCAGCCAGCATGGATTAAAAGTGATCATTTACATGACCCATTTTTATCATTAATTAAACAGATTAATCAACGGTAAACTTATTATTAAACTAACTGAATTATCGATACTAACCAACATGTTACAGCAGAATATACTGGACTTACACTGGAACTTCATGTCTGCCTTTTGTCTTTTATTGTGAAGTGTTTTATGACGTGACTGAGGGCATCACAGTGACGAGATGACCTGCCTGAAGCTATAATAAAACTAGATGACAATAAGGCAGGTGGAACTGATCACAATACTGCTCAACATATATGATATATGATGGAAAAACCTGTTCCTCCTTTTTCCTCCTGATTTACTGGGTTTCTAGTTCATACCATCCTACCTGACTCTCTGTGCTTTTGGTTCCTGTTATACAAATAAAACAAATACTGCCATGCAAAGGCAAAGGGCCTTAACTTAAATTCAATTTGAATTCAATTCCGTTTTATTTGTCGAGTTCCAAATCAGGACACTTTTTAAATCGAGCAGATCTTGTCCTTACTCCTTGTACAATTATTTACAGAGACCCAACCATTCCCACCATGAGCAAGCACTTGGCGACAGTGGCATGGAGAAATTCTGGTCTAAAGTGAATTATTGTCATATTTGGAACACTGAAATTAAATGTCTGTAAAAGTAAATTTTGTTGTTTTTTGGAGAAAATCTGCAGATCAAAGTGACAATGTATTTGACCTACCAGAAAGATACTGCAAATACTACACAGTAGCATAGGGGCCCACAAAAAGTCCAGGGCCCATAACAGACCACTCGTATCTGCAACTCTGCTATAATCTTGACTGACATGAGTTGAACCGACATCATATGCCAATCAATTTACAATCAAATCAATTAAAATATGCGATAGTAGTCAGTGAGCTAACCCCCTGATTGTATAATAATCACTCTACACAGTTGTGTTTTGTGTTTATAATGCCTATGCGCAGACATGAAACATTTTGTCAGTAATATCAATGTGGTGCAACGTCACTGATCATCATTTTTCATGTGTCACTGTGTGTCGTCACTAATGGGATCATGGTTTCATATGTGTGAGGTGCGTTTTAATCTCTATGAAGACAACTAAATGAACTATTGTTTTTATATTTAGATTATTATTTAAGACCCTGAACACAAGCTATCACTTTCAGTTTCTGCTGAACAACCTCACTCTGCATTCGCAAAGGGAGAAGAAAACACAGAATTTGTTGAAAAAGAAACCTGTGAAGTATATATGATTGTTAAAACTAAAGAAAATACATAATACAGATGAAGAATTGTATAAGTTACTAAAAAAAAAAAAAATCAGGAAAACCAAAATATTTACAGGAAATAAAAAGGTAATACACAAATTTCCTGCTGTAATTGCATCCACTGTTTGGGTTCATAGTTTATCAGAGGTCATCAGTTTATTCAATGATTGAAAGGGGTCCCTTAATGAAAAAGGTTTGGAACCACTGTTCTATAGCATGGCTATCTGTTTTCATTTAATTTACAGTGGGTACGGAAAGTATTCAGACCAGTTTAAATTTTTCACTCTTTGTTTCATTGCAGCCATTTGCTAAAATCAAAAAAGTTTGTTTTATTTCTCATTAATGTACACTCAGCACCCCATCTCAACAGAAAAAAACAGAAATGTAGAAATTTTTGCAAATTTATTAAAAAAGAAAAACTGAAATATCACATGGTCATAAGTATTCAGACCCTTTGATCAGTATTGAGTAGAAGCACCCTTTTGAGCTACTACAGCCATGAGTCTTCTTGGGAATGATGCAACAAGTTTTTCACACCTGGATTTGGGGATCCTCTGCCATTCTTCCTTGCAGATCCTCTCCAGTTCTGTCAGGTTGGATGGTGAACGTTGGTGGACAGCCATTTTCAGATCTCTCCAGAGATGCTCAATTGGGTTTAGGTCAGGGCTCTGGGCCAGTCAAGAATGGTCACAGAGTTGTTCCAAAGCCACTCCTTTGTTATTTTAGCTGTGTGCTTAGTGTTATTGTCTTGTTGGAAGGTGAACCTTCGGCCCAGTCTGAGGTCCTGAGCACTCTGGAAGAGGTTTTCTTCCAGGATATCTCTGTACTTGGCCGCATTCATCTTTCCTTCAATTCCAACCAGTCGTCCTGTCCCTGCAGCTGAAAAACACCCCCATAGCCTGATGCTGCCACCACCATGTTTCACTGTTGGGATTGTATTGGGCAGGTGTTGAGCAGTGCCTGGTTTTCTCCACACATACCGCTTAGAATTAACGACAAAAAGTTCAATCTTGGTCTCATCAGACCAGAGAATCTTATTTCTCATAGTCTGGGAGTCCTTCATGTGTTTTTTGGCAAACTCTATGCGGGCTTTCATATGTCTTGCACTGAGGAGAGGTTTCCGTCGGGCCACTCTGCCATAAAGCCCCGACTGGTGCAGGGCTGCAGTGATAATTGACTTTGTGGAACTTTCTCCGATCTCCCTACTGCATCTCTGGAGCTCAGCCACAGTGATCTTTGGGTTCTTCTACCTCTCTCACCAAGGCTCTTCTCCCACGATTGCTCAGTTTGGCTGGACGGCCAGGTGTAGGAAGAGTTCTGGTCGTCCCAAACTTCTTCCATTTAAGGATTATGGAGGCCACTGTGCTCTTAGGAACCTTGAGTGCTGCAGAAATTCTTTTGTAACCTTGGCCAGATCTGTGTCTTGCCACAATTCTGTCTCTGAGCTCCTTGGGCAGTTCCTTCGACCTCATGATTCTCATTTGCTCTGACATGCACTGTGAGCTGTAAGGTCTTATATAGACAGGTGTGTGCCTTTCCTAATCAAGTCCAATCAGTTTAATTAAACACAGCTAGACTCCAATGAAGGAGCAGGACCATCTCAAGGAGGATCAGAAGAAATGGACAGCATGTGAGTTAAATATGAGTGTCACAGCAAAGGGTCTGAATACTTATGACCATGTGATATTTCAGTTTTTCTTTTTTAATAAATTTGCAAAAATTTCTACATTTCTGTTGTTTTCTGTCAAGATGGGGTGCTGAGTGTACATTAATGAGAAATAAAATGAACTTTTTTGATTTTAGCAAATGGCTGCAATGAAACAAAGAGTGAAAATTTTAAAGGGGTCAGAATACTTTCCGTACCCACTGTAGGTGTCAGCTGTGCAGCTGCATTCACTTCTTTAATTTTCCACTGACATTACATCGTCCTGTCTGATTGTAATGGGAAGGCCCACTTTAATCATCTTGCATTGGGGCCCGGAGCTGCCTCGTAACGCTGCCACTACTAGTTTAATTACATGTAGTTCACTACTACTGTGAGTTGGTAATGCACCTTCGTGACTTTCAAATATATATTTTTTATATAAATAAATTATATATAATCATTTCAGATAGCGATCAATTAAATTTAAGTTAATGCCTTGGCAGGACCCCTTATTATTGTGCAGACATTGCAAAGGCGGAGTACCTTAAATTCCAATTAAGGGTCGAAGCTCAAGTTTTTAACACTCCAATTTTTTAACATTTTTATGTAGATAAATAACTTAAGCTTGAAAACAAAGAACTGCCACACATACAATTTTCTGCCTACAAATAATTTGGCTGGACAGCAAAACTTAAACATAATTTTTTCTGATTTATTGCTGATGACTGTGGCATTTAAACGATGCTCAGCTGATTTCATCTGTCATGAAAATATTTCCCACATCATCATGCCGCCACCACCAGCCTGAGCCGACACAAAGCAGGATGAATCCACACAGCCGAAATAAAACACTGTATCAATTTTTGTGTTTAAAACCCCAACCCATTTGATAGCAGGGCTGTAAACGTGTAAAAGTAAACTGAGGGATATGATGTTGGATGTTACAGGGACTGTAATATATACAAATGCAGATCCCACTGTTCTGGTTTTGACTTTTATGCATATAGTGGTCTTCCACCATGTTCAAATGCTTTTTAATCAAATCAAACATGAAACACTTACTCATCTGCTCAGTATGTGAGGTACTGGTAACACATGCTTTTTAAGTCAGTAATGGGGTTAGGCAGAGAGCAGTATTATTAGACCACTGAGCATTGTGGACCGCAAGCCTTTTGGTATTGCTGTTTTTTTTTTTCTTGCTTCTCTCTTTCTTTCTGACTGTTTTTCTTTCTTTCTTCTTGCAACTGAAACTGCCTTCAATAAAAAAGTCAGAAAATTTGCACAGCAGTACGTTTTAGTACGTGTCTACTGAAACATGGGGACAATTGTCCTGATGGTGGCGCTATAGCAAATGTCTAAATTTCAAAATTTTTTAAATCTGTTGCAGTATGGTTTTTTTGTCAAACCAAATCTACCAACTGTGAAATACAGTTGTATTCTGACCTGCGGTGCCAGAAACATGAGGGTGGGAAGATCCAGCAGACACATCAGCTCTTTCCAGGGCGTCTCCCTGCAGGGGGGCAGCAGGGTGGGGGCCGGCCGGCCGCTCAGGGACAAGTTTAGGCCCTCAGCTACCAGCATCTCCAGGTACAATGATACCTGGGATACCCTGAAGACCCAGTCCTCCAGACAGGAAACATCACACCCTCCCTGATCTGAGGAGTGAAACAAGGAGAGGAGAGGAGGGGGGAGGAGAGAGGAGAGGAGAGTCAATAGTCACATTTCCTCACTATAAATATACTAAAAAACCTTTGCATCACCTGTTTACCTGAGGGTTTGAGTTCAGAACACATCTGCTCAGCCAGGAGTTTAACACCCAGGGAGCCATCACCCATTCTCTCTGGCTTCCAGCCCTGCAGACGCCCTCTGTGGACCAGAATCTGAACTACAGCAGAAATCAGGTCCTTAAGGAACTATGGAGAAAGGGAAAAGAGCCAGAGTAGGATGTCAGTAAGGAGGGACGGAAGAAGCAGGGGTGAAAGGGAAAGGAGGGTTGTGACGAGTAGTAGAAGAGAAAATCCACATAAACTGATATAGTATTTCCAAATTCCCTATACTCACCTCTGCTACCTGCTCACATGTGACAACCGCTGCTGGACCCCCTCCATGCTGAGACATGGCCAGGACTAGAGGGGCCCGTTCTTCCGCAGTGCCTCGCAAGGTGTCCGCTAGGAAGATGACCAATTGCTCTCTGCCTACTCCAGAGGTGGAAGTGGAGGTGCTGGTCTTCCCAGAGGCTGCGGGTGCTGCCAGTCCAGGGTCGATACCACACATGCACTGGTAGACCCTCCTCACCATGGAGTCTGGTGCCAGGCTGCCCATCGAGGACTGAGCGAGACAAAAAGAGGAGTTAAACAAACTGGCAGACGCTGCCTTTCCCTGACGGATGTACTGGTAGAATATACAGGACAGAAGGGACGTGCTCAGTGAAACAAGAGCATAAAATACAGTCAGAGTCTAAGAAACAAAGCATATTTCTGAGTGAGAATACTTTAATCTGGTTGTGCATTGAGTATTAATGTCTCATAGCTGCTAAACTGTTAGAATGACACCTGTATACAGTCTATATACTCGTTATACCTGCAGCATCTCAAGTGTTATTGTCTTCCCTGCTGGTGTTTTCCCTGAGGCTCCTGAAGGGCCCCCAGCACCGCCCTGGAGCCTGTCGAAGACCCCCTCAACCGCAGGCCGCTCCTCGGGGCGGAAGCGGGCCAGCCGCTTCTGCGCCACCACACACTCTGTGTTACCCATGGCGCTCTGCAATCCAACACACAGCAGAACACACACACCAAGGTCATTATGTTTAGCTGGGTACAATTGAAGGAAAAATCCACCCTAAACAGAAAACATACTGTGACGTATTGATTTCAGACAGTATATTCACATGTGGCTACTTATAATGGATTTTATATTGGGAGAACTTAAAATGATGGTATAACAATCAGTTTTGGAGTTTAACACTCTTTGTAGGCCATTAGAAGCTTGACATATTTTAATCATATTAGTTCCAACTGAATTTAGCAATTGCAGAAGTAAAAGTTCTCAAAATGTCCTGTCATCTTTTATTTATTCATTATTCAGTGTCTATAAATGGTTCCCTTACTGGCATATGACTCCTTAAAATGAAGCAATATCTACTTGTGATCCCTCATAATGGGTTATTGCCTTAGTGTGGACTTATCATCTCCAATAGTTTGACTATAGATGAAGGGGGAAAGATTGCCAGTATTTAAAACTAGAACGAATATTTTCAAGGTCATATATATGAGATTTAGAACATTCTATAGCAGCAAACAACTATTTGCTGTGTAAAGATATAGGGGAGTTAGTGCATGTGAGTCTCTCCGTGTGCAGCAGTTGGCTTTTTGAGACTGAAGCTGCTGTTTTCCTCATCTACGTAAGTGAATTAAGGATTTATTTTGACCAACCCAGAGTTGGTGATTGTTAGAAAAACTGTGGAAAGATTAATGAAGATGGTTTTGGTAAGTTTCATTTTGCATCTGGTTTGAATTAAGTGTGTTTTACAATGAACTGCAAGGTTATATGACTGTTTTTGTCTATGGAACCTGGTGGCAAGTGATAGCGATATAACAGCTGTTTCTGGTTAAACAAAAAGTCTATCGCTGGAGGGATCCTTTCCATAAAGTTGTCAGACACTTAGGATTACAATCTGTTAGTTAGGACTATGTATTGGAAAGAATCTGGCGATACAATATGTATCACGGTACAGGGGTTACGGTTTAATATACTGCGATACTTTAAACAAGACAATATACAATAACAATAATATATTGCAATTTTTAAATAATCAACTTTATATAGTATAAAGGACACACCACCTTATGCATAACATCTGAGTTTCTTTTTTTTATACAACCAGAGCAGTGGGATCTGTATATGTATCTATCACAGTCACTGTAACATCCAACATCATAGCCCTCAGTTTGTTTAGAACACTGCTTTCTAGTAGTTGGGGGTTTAAACACAATATTTTTCTATATTTTCTTACACCCATTCTGTTGCTGTTGTACATTCATTTACATGACTATTTCGTGGGTATTTTCTCCTCTAGCTGTGTTAGTGTTGGTGATTGTTGTTGGAACAGTAGAAAGATGTACAGAGATGGTTTTGGTAGGGATGCACGATGGGAATTTTATTTCAGCCCATTCGATAACCGATATTTACCTGCTTCTCATGGCCGATACCGAGGAAGATAACCTATGATTTCGCATTTTTGAATTTTAAAAAGACCTGAGGGTAAAAAAGGCTGAGACGTAGTGAGCAAAGATGGATGATTTAATATTCCATAGCTCTGTTCTGATCAAATCTGACATCACTATTGTTAATGCAACAAAAACAACAGTTCTGATCCCTCAAATGTTTATTTATTTGTTCAAATTTCAAATTCCAAATAATTGATGAATAACATGATTATTAACATAACCAATCATTTATAGGCTGTAATTTAATAATCCCGATAATTTGTAACAATGTAAATTCCCCGTTATTGGCCAATCATTTATCTGTCCTGATAATTATCGTGCATCCCTAGGTTTTGGTGAGTTGTATTTTGTTTCTGTCAAGTTTGAATTAAGTGTGTTTTATGATCTGAAAGATAAAATGAGTGTTTTGTCAGGGGAGTCTGGTCAGCCATTGCACTCGCATTTGTTTTGGTCTGGTGCTCTAGTGCAACATTTAGTCTGAAAGCTGTATACTACCCCTTTAATCAATGAATATATTTTTGGTGTATCAATGTCTCTTTTTTCTTTTTAATTCTTGTGACCCCCTTAGAAGTGTCTTCTGACCCTAGATGGTCCCAACCCACAGATTAGGATCTGTTTCACTGTCTGTGTGCTTCAGCTCACTTGTTACAATACAATATAATAGAATAATAATAAGGTAATTCTATAATATTATAGCCACAATTTATCCATTTTAGGGCTGATCCATATACAAATACAGTACGGATACATCACAAATGAAGCAATAATAAATGTACGGTAATGTATGGATCGATTCCACTGCAGCTAAATAACAACTTTCATAGTTTTTCACGACCAAAAGATAAATAGGACAATATGGGATATTAAACTGAATGTTTTAAATGATAGAAGTGTTTCTGTTTCCTATGTGTGGTTAAATGACTGTAGAAGTCTGCTGAGGATAGATGAAACTTTAAAATCAGAATTTAATAACACAGCTTTAGCGTTAGCTCACGCTAGCAGCTAGCACAGCATTACCTCACTCGTATCCTCTAAATGATTCTAAACGAAATACTTAAGGTGAATATATGACAGGCATAATGTTCTCAAAGCTAGGTCACTTCAAAACGAGCACTAAATGTGACTGTGTGCCGCTGACCTTTTAAAGAAGAGCAGCTAAGCCTCCCATCCTGTATCTACTGTAGTGACAGCCAAATGTAAACTTCCTGGTGATGATAAAGATGACGCTCATGGTAGCCAATCAAATGAGCCAAATGTTCACCTGTCTCATTGTGATTGGTCCGTGGTGTCAGGAGGCGGGGAGAACTGCCCGTCAGGGGTATGTTCAGCGCCACACTGCCTCTGTACTCTTTCAGTATTTATAGCTCAAACACTAATGTGCTTATTATTTTGACCACATTCTGTATTCACCAGTCCAATTTTTTAGGCAAAACGTCAAAGTTCAATGTCCATACATAAAATATTTTTTCTATAATCTAAATGTGCAAACAAAAAAAATCTACAACCGCTGTAATCTTTCAAATTGTATTATATGTTCTATTGTTTATTAAATTTAGGTTCCCTGGCTTATTTGTGATTATAGACCCAAGTTGTATACACAAGCCTATTTGTTTCTTCTTCTTTTTTTTTTTTAAACAGCCTAAACAGTTTGTATTACTGCCAGATAAAAATCAATGCTGTCTGTATCTTTCTACCTAACACCATAATACTGCATTATTAAAACACAAAGTGCAGTGAAGACAGCCATCCATCTTCAGAAACACTCATATACTCAGTAAGAACATGCTCATAGCAATGAGTATATAGTATATATGGCATGTGGTAATAATAAGATAACGAACATCTTATCTTATCTTAATGGCCAGAATGGATCCGTCTTGCAATTATACTTGAAATTATAATTAAGAGATGATAAAAATGGCAAATCTTGTGTTTCCAAATTGTTACTAAAGTACAAGCACTGTTATTGTCAAAGATTTGAAATAACATTATAAAATACATATTTATAGTAAAAGTAAAAGGGGAAAAAATGGATGTTGTTTTTTTAAGAAAAGCATGAAATATTCTTTGGGGAAGTATTAGTGGTTACTCCTGCACTAGTCATCAATATAGTTTTCCAGAAAATAAATCCAAACAGATTGTGAGTTCGGGCCCAATGACATCACTGGCCTCATTTTGTCCCACAACTGCTTTCACATGCAAACAGACCAATTATAAACAGAAAAACTACATGTAAGCATGCACAAACGCCAAGTAATTTACAACAGCATAAGGAGGAAATGTAATTTCATGGTCCTATCCCATCTTTGACCAGTAGAGTCCGCACAGGAGCAAGCATAGAGAACCAGAGCCCTCTGCAGAAACAGTAGGCAGTTGAAAAACGCCTTTTATGGGCATGAGACTTACTGTGTGAGTGCACTGAGCTGAGGGTGTGTTGCATTGTAATGAAGTCTTGTAGGACAGGGGATGCACCCACGTCGGCGCAGCTGAACGTGTAGGTGACGTGCAGCCATCTGCCCCACACCAAGTAAACAGAGTGTTGTAAACAGGATGATGAATCAGTGTGTGCAGCATTAGATCAACCACAGTGCTAGAAAATAATTTTTAATCCAAGTGTAGTGCATTCACTGTAAAAAGTCTTTCAAAAAGTTGATAGCTGGGACATTATTCTGAATGAATGGATGAAGTTGACCTGGCCAGCCACTGAAGCATTTAATTCCTATGTAAATAGAGGATATCCTGTAGGTAAATAATAAAAACCGACTATTAAGTTTAACCTGAATTATTTAGAGGGAAAAGAGTTAAACATGATGCAAGGTGTGCAAAGTTCAGCGTTATATTTTTTCCTGAATTCGAACAGAGGCCTGCTGGCAGTATTTTGAAAGGACTTAATATAATCTCTTGCACAAGCAACACATTTGTTCTTGGTTTCATTAAAACACATAATGTACTAAATCAGCTGATGCAGAGGGGGATTCAAAATAAGACACTTTTTGTTTTGTTCCATTACAATCTGCTGAAACTGAGAAAGCGAGTCCAAATGTATCCGCAAGTCCCAGAGTAGAGTCATCATATAAGTGAAAGAACTGCGCATAAATTCAGCTGCTGTGACTTCTAGTTCCTAGTTTACACTCACCCAGAATGAATCAAATGAGTGTTCACTTCCTTTATACACTCATGCAGACCATAAATGGTTTCAAACAAAACTGATAACACCAGATGAGGTTATCCTGTTAAAGTGAGACTGTGTTAATGTGTGCTGAACAGTGGCCACAAATGGAATCCATAAACCTGACTGCTTATCAGACAGCCAAACACTGCACAGTAGTTTATAATGCTGTGAGACAGGATTTTACAGCTGTGAAAAGGTATCACACTGGGAATCAGTTCATCTTCTGGGGTGGCCAGGCATCTTTAAGGGTTGACCACTGCCAACCCATGCTAAGCCTCTAGATCCGCCCCTGTGAAGGTGGAACATGAGAATAAAAGATCTTTACGGCGTTCACACATTACATCTGCATCTACCAGAAAACATGAACAGTTGCAAAACCTATAGGTGTAATCAGACCAGTTTGTAATTTGTCTGTCTCCTCTGTCACTATTTCTTCTGCCTCACTGGTGTTTCAAGCAGGTACAGACACAACCAGGTGATGCACATGGCTCACTGTTATATGACCGTGTATACGCAATGTTCCAATAAAAAGAGAAACTTGGCATGGTTGCTATGAACTGTGAGCTGAACTGTGTTCCCTCCATACTGATTCAGCTGTCAACAAGTTGAGACTTGAGAAGTGAGTCGTGGTAGTTCTTCTTTTCTCTTCCTTTTGCCCAATAACCCTCCTCTCGGTTGCATCCCTATATGGTAAATGCCTCACGGCTGACGTAGTGCACAGGAAACCCACCGTTTGAATACCAAATTAAAAAAAAAAGAAGAAGAAAAAAGCCACACGCCACAAGCCACACTCACACGTTGATAGACTGCACTTGTCACTGGACTTCAAGTCGCTCTCTTGTATCCATTTCAAGAAAAGCTCTGTACTTGCTTGACACATGTAATTGCTGTCACTTGTACTTTCTGTATTTTGTCTGTCCTCAGTTTACAAGCAGTGATTATGAACACAACCCCATTCAATGTTCATTCATTTTTAAAAAGACTTCTCGCATTGAAAACAAACCCAAAGCATTTTTCTGTTGAGATACATGACATATGAGGCCTGTCACAAGGTCAACTGTGTGTTTCCCAGGTCTCACAATAAAACATGAGATCCCGTAGACACTATTCTCCTGCGCCCGAGTGCTTTGCATGAGTGTGCTGAAGGATTTCAATAAGGCGGGCACTCCTTTGACTCTGAGATGATTTTGTTTTTTCGTAGAAAACCTGACTACTTCCTCTGCGTGTGAGCATGCACCAAAATGTGCCATCTTGGGCTGCAGCTGAGCTCCATCTTTGAAACCATGCAATGAAAATTTCACTTATTGTCATGTGGTTTCTTGGTAGATGGCAATCAACTAAAATAAATACTCTCTGTAGGTAGAAGTGTCTGTTCTGATGACACTTGAAACTTATTGCTGCTTGGAGCAATAAGCAGACTACTGTGTTTTTTCCACAAAAAAAGTATATGATTTTGAGTAATCCTTAAAAAGTCATATACTCTTTCTACCTCATTAAAAATCCCAGAATCTCTGAATATATAAATGTTGTTGATTTTTAAAGTTTTCCTGTTGGACACAAGATGTCTCCTACTTCACTGTAAAGTCCATTCTCAGTGGATGTACACCATTGACAGTATATATAATGGACAGAGCTTCTGGGTCTGTGAAGTGAAGCTGACGCAGAAGTGTCTTAAGCCTGCATCCTATGTAATGGCCAGCATGGTGCTGCTCTATTGGCTGCAATAACTCACTGATGCCATGCAGTCTTATGGGGAAATGAGCCTAGTTCTTACTTGATTTATTATCTCAGTAAACAGTTTCCTAATGAGTTTCTGGTCTCAATCTCTAGTTTCAGTCTTTCTTTCATACGGCATGATGTTCATTTAGTAAATGATGGTTCCATTTAGAGTAAAATAGACCATAAAGAAGGGTATGCTTTAGGGCGTGGGTACCTTTTGATTGACAGGTCATGCTCAGTGAGTCCGTCCAGCTCAACGCACCAAACTCAGATTAAACTGTCAAACTAGGCAGTGCTGATCAGATATGAATCCAGATTCTGTTACTGTGTTGACTATTTCTCACCTAAATTTGTTTCAGAAACATATTTTAGTGCATGTTCACACTGATGGCTTCAAGTTTCTATATCACACTGTAGAAGTCGCATACTGGACTAGGATTGACATGCACACTTATCAGGAATCATATCTCTTCCTGTCAGCTGCAGTGAAAGACAACTTCCTCATTCTGGTCTGTGACGGCGGCTGATTCATGTGAAACAATCCAAGATGTCATCACATCTTTCATGTGGGTGCCGGGGCTTCTGCTCGTCAGTCTGACTGTAAGGTGCAGCCTTGTGACACAGACCTGTTACAGAAGGCAGCCCAGGTACACCCATGAGGTAGAGGAGCTGAGATGTTTCAGATGTCAGAAAAGTCATTAGTCTGACATTTGTTCAGCCGGGTGAAAACGCTTTTAAAATCTGGAGGCAAACATGCAAGTAAGCCTGAAAATGCAAAAATGATATCAAATTAGGGTTCTCAAAAGTAATTACTGCGTCAGTTTGAACTAAAGAATGCTTTTCCTGTTGTGGTCCACCCGTTCTTGTTTTAGCATCACTCTCATGCACTGGTGCACTCATTTTTACGTATTTTAATGCTATGCTACTTTTATGCATGGGTGACCATTTAAAGGAACCAACACAAACCTCACTGTCTCTGGAACCATCTCCATTCTCCCAGAAGTTCACATCAATTTCATTCTCACCAAACCATTCAATGACCCCTCATGGTCCTGTGTGAAAGCATCTGCATTTGTCATGTTTCTCCACTCATTCATTCAGGTTTCTCCTTTTAAATTAAAAGTTTGGGAACCCCTGCATTAACTCAAAATGTCTGCTGTGAGAAAGGCTCGCTGCTTGTCTGCTTAGACATTTTACAGTAGCCTACAGTGCTGAGCTATTGCTGTTTCAGGACAAAGTGGAAAAAGTAAGCTAGTACGCAATCTACAACAAACTGAAGTGCTGCTGGATAACATTTTTACACACTTAGATAAAAGGTATTCGTGTGTATTCAGT